GGCGGTGGCGGCGGCACTTCCGGGTTGCTCTTCTCCATGTTGATCTCGGGAACGCGAAGGGGCGGGGCCGGGAAGGGCTGCAGGGTCAGGGGTCAGCGCCTCCCCGGTTGCCGTGGCGACCGAGGGCGCCGGCTGTGGCGCGTCTAGGGCGGGCGCTTGAGGCCGGGAGCTTCCCCTCCTGGTACTTGACGCTGCTGGTTTGGGTGCTGCGCCTGACGCCCGGGCCTGGCACCGTGCTGAGTGCGGAGTGTGCAAAGCCAGGAGGAGATCCCTGGGGGGGAGCTGGGACTGCTCCCGAGAGAAGGTAATCAACGCCCCGGGACCTGCCCAAAACTCGCGAGAGACCCAATTTCAATTTTTGAAGGCAGGGAATCCCTCTTGCTGTCCCTTGGATGCCCGGTGCCTGGCACAGAGCGGGCTTTCCATCAGTGGTGGTGGAAAGAACTGGTGCCCTTTATTGACGGAAAACACTTTTCCCCACACCCCTTTCCACCCCTCTCTGAAAGGAGAGAAACCTGTCGATAGACTGGAGATCACATCCTCACCCAGACAAAGGGAGAGAGGAAAGCAGATAAGAAAAGATTCCAAGACTAACACATGGATTAATAAAGATCATAGGAGGCGCTAGGCTGGAGTCAAAAGACCTGATTCCGATCTCATCTCTGCCAGGCGGCCTTAGTCAAGCCATTTCATCTCCTTGGGCCCCAGTTTTTCTTCAGGGGTAAAACTGAAGCCTCTATTGTGACTAAGACTCAATCGCGACTCCTTGACTCGACATCTAAAGCAGCCCTGTCCTCTGAGCACTCAGAGTCTGGTAGACTAGCCAGATCATCTGGAGACCTTGCCCCAACTTCGGAAGCCAAACCCACAGAAATTACTGTGATAATACTCCTTTCAGTTCAGAAAGGCCAACAGCGCATTTACTTCACCATGAGGACAAGTGCCTTACCTGTGTTTAAGCTGAGACCAAATGGCCACCAATGTGATTGGAATGGAGGGAGCTCTGTTCAAAGAAGAAAGTAGAGAGATGTTAATTGTGCGCTTTTTCTGGAGCTAGCCTAATCCAGTGGGGAAAGTAGTGGTAATGGCTGATGATGAGACAAGAGCCTTTTACAAAGCTCCTGATGGACACCTCCAGTATGAGGCTAGAGACAGCTTCTAGGAATCTCAGTTTCCTTGTCAATAAACTGTAGATAAACAACCTGTTAAAGAGTATCGTGAAATAATGTACATTTCCTAGCACGATGTGGCACCTAATTCTATATTTCCATTTGCCCCTCCTATGTACTACCTTTATTGCATTTACTTCTGGTCCTGTCTTGGGTAATTCCAAGAAAATTCTAAGCACAGGTACTATGGACTCTCCTCATAGAGCCTGGCATGCAGTAGGCACTCCGATTTATTGAATGACTGAATACCTTTTCTCCTTTACACAGTGATTTTGAGAGTAAAGCAACATAATAGATGGGAATACTCTCTTCCAACTTAAAATGGCTACACAAGCATAAGGTGTTATGTACATTATTTTCAGGCAGGGTTTTAAACTTCTTCGTTCGAGAAGAACTTTATGCACTTCAGGTTTTCTCAGTGTCCCCATGTTTACAGGATCCTAGCTGCAGCACTTAAAACTCTAAGAAACAAGTGAAGTTAAAGGTTTTTTTTCTTTCCTTTAAATGCTTTTCGAATGGAGGGCTATGAGGACCCAATATATTCGTGTCACAAAGGCAGCTGTATCGTTGAAGAGCCTTAGGAGGGTAACATGCAGTCATTTAATCTCTTAGAAGATATTTCCCTGAGCCTGAAGGATAATACTACAAACCTCAAAGACCACCCAGGTTCCAGCACCTTCTTTCAGGAGTCCACTGACACTTGCTAGTGTCTATAAATTTCCCTTCATTTATTGTAAATTTCAATTTTTTAGTACTGTTTACCCATAGTGGCTGGTGTGAGCTCTGTATAAAGTGGGCACTCCCAAAAGAGACATTGGATTAATTTACTACCGGGATCTTCAGTAATCCTCAGCTAGATACCATCTAGGATGAAAAGACCCAGATTTTAAGTCATTCTAATGAAATTTTGCTATGAAGTATAAAAAAAATAGCAGAATTTTCCATCTTTGGGAAATAGTGTATGAAAAGGCCATGTGTGGCAAACAGAACAAAATCATAGTACTGCAAATATAGCATCTGGATCCCAGAGTGGGCAACTGTCAACTCTAAAGGAAAATAGTCTTAAGGATTTTTAAAGAGTACACTGGAACAGTCACTGGTGGAATTTCATCAAGATCTCCAGGGAGAAATAATTTGACACCTGAAACTTACAAAAACGAAATAAACATCATGAAATCAAACTTAATTAAGTTTAGGAGTTGTATAAATGCATTTTTAAAAGTCTTCACGCCTTGATTAAAGGTTATAATTAAACAATAGGCAATTAAACAGTGGATGTATGTTTCTAAAGAGCTTAAATTGTTTGGTAAGCTTTATTAATGATTATAAACTTGTTTACAAGTATCATTTCACTCACCTCGGAAACATAACCATCTCTAGGGTAGAAGCTCGCAGCAGAAGTTCACAGCAACGCAACCACACCCTCCCACACAATTCAGAGAATACTCCAAAGGCAAGAACTGAACGACTAGGATCACTAACGTCTCTTCCTGTAGCACCTACATTTCTTTGGAGCGCCCCAAAACCTAGCTGAGCCAAAATTGTTTAGTTTTACTGTCTAGCAAGATCAGAAGTTATGTCTTCATGTTTGTAAATCAGAGTAAGAAAACAGCATATTTTTGCTCCTGAGGGAAACAAACCAACCAAATGGGCTAAAGAGAATCTGGAATTAATTTATAAAAGTGAAATAATTTCCCACAGGAGAGTAGTTTATTGTTGTTGTTGTTGTTTTTCGATTGTTTGTGTTAAGAGAGGAGCCCTGGTGGTGCAGTGGTTAAATGCTCAGCTGCTAACTGAAAGGTCGGTGGTTTGAACCCACCAGCCGCTCCATAGCAGGAAAAAGATGTGGCAGTCTGATTCCGTAAAGATTTACAGCCTTGGAAACCTTATGGGGCAGTTCTGCTCTGTCCTATAGGGTTGCTATGAGTTGGAATCCATTTGTTGACAGTGCGTTTGGTTTTGGTTTTGTATTAAGAGGGTAAAAAAATGTCACTTGGTTCAAATATACTGTCGGCTCGGAGTGAAAAATAATGGCAATGACGTAAGCTCTGGGATCAGAGCAGTTCTGCCAAAATGTTTATTGTCTCAGTTTTAAATATTCTTTTCACTAGTTTTAAGATGTACATGGACAGTGATTTAAAAAGGGAAGGATTGTATGTGTAAGGACACATACGAGAATCGAAGAGAGTCTTTTTGGTTTTTTTTTAAATCCTATGACTAATGAAATGTCTGGACATGTTTGACACGTTTCCAAAATCAAGGGCTTGGGAAATAAATACATATCTTAAAGGGAGAAAATGCTGAAAATTCTAACTTTTAAACTGTTAAAATGCCTGCTGCAATGAATAAAAATGATTGGACCAGAAGGTAAGAATAGTCAATGTTTATTCCCTAGTAGTGGAGCATTTCACAGATGAAAATATTTACTAAAGGCAGTATCTTTCAGTCCACCTCCATAAGGGGACTTATTTCAAGCGTTGTGGAAGATTTTTCCTTTGGCTATCGGCATCTCTATGATAACATCTTGCAAATCTGTTGTAGAGCAATTATAATCCTCTCAGTGTTCAAATGGCCCATTTGGTCAAGAGTGTTAAAGCTCTCATTTTATAATGCATGTTAATTATTTTCCAGATGGAGATTCAGAGACCTAAAGATAGGAAGAAGCTTTCTCCAAGGTACCATTACAATACTCAGATTTCAGACTCATATATATAATACTCATATATATTTTATATATATGTATACACACACAGGGTTCCCTGGGTGGTACAAACTTAACAATTAAGACCTTGACTATTAGCCGAAAGATTGGCAACTCAGACCCACGAGAGGTGCCTCAGAAGACAGGCCTGGCAATCTGCTTCCAAACAGTCACAAACTTGAAAATACAATGGAGCAGTTCTACTCTGCACACATGGGGTTGCCATGAGTCGGAATCGACTTGTCAGCAACTAACAGCACACGTGCACACAACTCAAATGTACGTAAAATTTATATACATACAGCAAAGCCCCAGAGGTGTGTTGGAGATATATGAATAGACAGATAGATTTCCACATCTATTGAAAAGTTAAAAAAAAAAAAAAAAAAACTCTTTGGCTAATTGATTTGAAATTATAATTGCAATAAAGCAGTTTGTGATTTTTTGGTGATTTTTTTGTTTTGTTTTCCTCACTGGACTGATGCCTCTGTCTTCTGGCACTGGGCAGAGTGTGGACACAATGTGTGACGCCTGAGAAGAAGTGTGGTATAAAGGGTGAAGACCTCTAGCCAGTCGTTGAGCCTTAATCCCAGTGGTTAAGAGCTCAGGCTGCTAACCCAAAAAAAAAGGTCGGCAGTTTGAATCCACCAGGCACCCCTTGGAAACCCTATGGGGTGGTTCTACTCTGTCCTGTAGGGTTC